GCGCTGTGAGCGAAGAAGTTTTCAAGCGTGCATGCAATAAAATTCCAAAAACAAAACGCCATGTGAAAGAAACGTGGATGAAATGCATATTTTTTAAAATAAACGTATGAAATGCTCATAATCTCATTTCAGCCACCCCCGGCCAAAAAAAAAAAAATGGTCCAAAAGTGATTTGATCGTGAACTGTGAAAGGATGTGTTGCCGATGGCTGTGACTCAGAAGTTTTGACTTCCTCAGCGGAAGTTATTATCCGAGCCAAGTACATGTACTTTCAATTCAAAGGTACCGCGTATCAAATCGAATGGTCATTGTAACTTCTTGAAGTTGAAATTTCTATCTAGATGGGTTGCTTTAAGTAACTTGTCCATTAGGTATACATTTTATGTCACCGAAAATTGATTGCGTCAAAAATTCAGCTTCACAGAGTTAATTGGACAAATTAGCATTTGAATCTTGATTGGCTCGGCATCAGCCCGAGGTGACGTCATCTGAATGTGTCTGTAGGTAGCAATCTTTACGACATAATATCACAGTTATCATATCAATTAAAACTTAGACAGTACTTGATGAATGAGAGGAAGTCATTAGCTTCTAGAATGCGAGGGCAAACAAACGCCCGCGAGAACCCCTTCCCCCTGGGAGAATTTACAAGACATGGGCTTCCTGTGCCACCTCTGACTCAAATGCCAACTTTCTATTTGGGAATTATGCAAAATTAATGTTTAAGTCTTTGGATTTGTCCTTTTACTCAAAAACTGATAGAAATCTAACATCGCCTGATTCCAACTAAAAACCTACTGTAAAAACAATGATGGTCAGTTTGACGGAGAAATAGTTGGGCGCTCAGCATTAGTTAGAATGAAATTCCAGATTGAAAATTCAAAGTTTTCGAAGTTTTTCCTATTTCTTTTTGTCAAACTAAACTTATGACAGGTTGGTTTTACACTCAAATAATTGACTGATCTGGAGAAGAAGCAGTTCTTATCAGTAACGTATTTCTCTTTAACTGGAATAAGTGCAGACTGGCGTGGCTATGTGCTCAGTTCTGACGAGAGAGGATCAGAAATTTCATGCCCTCCTGGTTCTAGCTAGTATCAAATGCCTTAAATTTCAGCTTAAGAAAATTACAACAACAACACATACCTGTCCATAGAAGTCTTCATTTTCAGCAGGAAACAAAGAAGTTGAACAATTTTTCGAAATCGCTCGATAGGCTGAAAAGCGAGAAAAAAAAAATATCGGTCGGATAATAATACATGCAAGGCAGGGGGCCAGCAATTAAAGAAGGCATCATGGATGAAGAAGAGATTGCGTGGCCCTGAAACCTCAGGTAATTTGTGCTGAATGAGAAACGAAAGCGTCTTTTGTGCAAAGGAAAAATACATCCGTTTTGAATTTGATACCTCCGGCACGGAAATGTGCCTCGAGAGAGTTGCCTGCACTTCAGCGATCGAATTACATACCAGCCATCGTCTGATAATTAATTTTAACTTTTTTGTTTTGCTTCTGGATTTGTTACATCTGTTGGTTTTCTTTTTCCAAAAAATTTGGCTCTAATTCTGCTCAATTTCCGGTAAACAGAACTACTTGACTCTTTCTTGGAAGAAAAAAAAAGTTTTCTTCATTTTGACTTCCCATCGATCCATTGACGTCACCAGCCTCTGGGTTTTGAGAGGGTTTACTTACATTAGCAAACTATTTTTACTGTTGGTAATTATTCTAATATACCAAACCGCCATCACGGAACTTTTTGAACATTTTCAAAATGTTCAAAAAAGTTCCGTGTTCGGGCCCAAATCATAATTAAGATATTATCTAGTGTAATATGCAAATCTTGAAAGAGAAAAAGATCAGAGATTTGATTATTTCCAAAGTTAAATTTGTGGTTTAGTACATTGTCTGATTCCGTCAAAAAGTCAATAGTCTTTAGATCTACAGGGGATATTGCGTAAAGTTTGTAAGGTCGTTGATTAAGACACTCGATCATAATTTGGTTAAACTAAAGCGGAACTGCAATTTAGTTTGACTTAAAAGGTACTTGTTGTGAAATACACGTCTCTTGAATCCAAATAATAAAATATGGCTCACGCGAGGCAATAACTCGACCGTAACGAAAATTTAGCTTGCCACGAAACCTACCGCTACCTCCGAGCCGTCATTCTCTTCTTCAACTACCTCTTCACTCAAAACGTCTACTTCGACTGCGGGCAGAACTACTTCTGTTTCTTCTTTCTCTGAAACAAGATGCTCTTCGTTTATGATTGGTCTTACTTTCTTTCGTCCAGCATTTTTAGCTTTCCGCGTTGAATTTTGCGAAGGAAGTCGATCGTCTATGTGTGTAGATATGACCCCATCGTCTGCATCGTCCGCAGCGCTGCTTATTGCTCGCTTCCTGATGTTGTTTACAGACAGGAAATTTCCTAAATAAGTTGGCGGGAGGGAAGCCCGTCTAGAAAGTCTTCCTTTCTTTGAAACTTGATTTGGAAGCCACTTCTGGTCTTGTTTGGGCTTCGATGAAATTTTACGTAGTACGCCGTCAATATGAACTAGTTTTTCCAGGCCAGCTGCATCGGATGAAACTGTTTTTCTGAGTTTTGTGCTACCTTGCTCTTCGTCAGAAATTAATGAAATATCAACAAGAGAATAAGGATCAGAAGAAATACGAGGAAAGCCTCCTGAACTCGTGATTTCCTTCGACTCTCTCTCTGACTGAGTTCCCTCAGTTAAGTTAGACATATTCTCTCTGCTTGTTTCATTGTTAGCTTCATGTCCGTTTGCGTGAGGGCTTTCCGATTGACTTCGGAAAAAAGAATTTCTTGATTTCGTTTCATTCCAGCATTCTTTTGTTAGTTGGTTGTCTCCTTTACCTCCTAACATAATCGCCATTTGTAGGTTGTAGTGTTTCAGTTGTGTTAAATCGGACAGATACTTAACTAGCTTCTCTGGAAGCGGAAGGTGACATACTCCTGCTTCGTCATGTCCTCTTTGAAACAGAATTCACCAGGTTAAACCATAAGTTAGTCTTCTTCACCAGTTGCTGTGGTTCAGGATTTTTTTAACTCAACTGTTAAACTTCTCAACTTTTCGCGTGCGTTGCGTAGCAATATGCAGCAATCTTTTAGTAAATGGCACAACTGAAGTTTGTGCTTCAGCACTGCTTCTTACATCGTTAAATCAGGCCTCAACCTAAATTGAAACTAATGTCTCCACTGCAATCGGTATCACTAACACAAAAATTCCAAATCATCGATTAATCTTCTTGTCAAATTACTCCTTGCAAGCAGAATCCGATCTAATGCTTGGCTGCTTAATTGAAAATTCATAAGACTCTCTCTGTAAACACGATTTGTCTGGTTTGCATCAAAATGCACTATCCATAACTACGCAAACAAAAGATTGGAACTTATTAAACAAACAAGCGGTCAACAGTTCAGCACAGATTTAACCTTTGCGTCGAAATCGCCGTCAATAAGCCAAACGATTGACGGTTTCAGTTCAACGGGATTTGTCAAAAGAAAACGTGAATTACCATGCTTGACAGATGATTCGTTTCATTCGGGGTCGGTTGTTATTGGTTCTACAGGGAAGGGTGAGTTTCATTCGTCATCAAAAATTCGACAATTTTTGTGTCGCCGTATCAGGTACTGTTCTATCTCTGTTTTATACGAGATAATCTGTCACTGAACAAAGTTTTTAAATCGACCTAAATCTTTTGAAAAATAAACAGTTTGTTTGCTAATTTTTGTATCAATCACGTAAATAATTCAAAATCGTAAAGTGACGAAGCTTTCAAGGTATGTACACTGATAGGCATATCTTTGTTATTTTGTAACCCTGAGGGTTTGATATTCTGCTTAAAGGGGGCACTACATGCATCATTGCTCTCTCAGGAGGCAGCGATAGAATCTATTTTTGTTAAAACCCATTTAACGAGCCACTCGATTGGATGCGCACAGTTTGCTCTGTTGTCCGCAGTTACTAGTAATTCAAATTGCGTCGCGTAAGTTTTTATACGACGCCGCATGGGGTTGCAATTAACAGTGGGAAACCCATTAAAGAAATTTGCATTGAGGCTATAGAGAGGAATTCAGAACTATTTACTTATGCCCACGGAAACAAATCCAAGGCAGAGCTATCAATCTTACTAATGAAGTCAACATAATTAATTGTATTTTTTGATTTTTCAAGCGATAGCAATCGGTTGAATTTTCCGTAGTTGATGTTGAATGTCCGCCATTTTGGACTTCAAAGCCGAGAAGGCCCTGGAAGCAAGTTTTATAATTGAATGCTTTTTGCTTAGTCAAATGGGTTGCTCGCTGATCAGAGGTTATTTTTTAAAAAGAAATAAAACGCATGCGCGTTGTGATTAAGAGTCAAGCCTCTATGATCTAGCAGAGATCATTTAAACAATCACCAGAAGACTATTTGAGACATATCTTTAAAAACTGGTGTCTTTACCGCAAGCTTTTCTTTGCAAGTTAACCAGTTTGAGTAGGCTGGGAGCAGGAGTAGAGTTTTTTTAATTCAAGAGAATAGAAATCAGCATTTATAACACGATTAACACGTGTTTGAAGACAGAACGTGTACTTTAGGTCTACAAGCCAATGTTAGGGCTGAGCTTTTATGTTCCTCGACGCAACTGTCGGAGTCACCACATCCTTTTCCCAGCCATTACGGCCATGGTTTGACGTCAAGAGCTGTGGTGAATCGGTTGAGGTAGGTGCCATGGTTATATACACAGATATATTAATTGATATATTCAGGGTTGTCAGTTCTAGAGAGAGCTTTGTATTTGAACCGAGGACAACTGAAGTTATTCGCTGAGTCAATAACATATTTCTCAGCTGTAAGCAGGAGCATAAATGCCCCGATCAAGGAACGAGATGACATTGGATAAAAAATAACACCCGAGGAAACATCAAAAGGGGAAAAGATGCAGGAAAATACGATATAGGAGCTTGGACTGGAAAAGACGGTGCTCAATGGCTCGATGCGATCTGTCAATCACTCACCTCTTCAGAGAGTTTCCCTTTTTGATTAAACGACATTCTGCGGTATGAGCCGAAAATTGACAACTTGCGCGTGATGGTAGAACGATCAAACTCCTGCTCTTTCTTCTTCTTCTCTTCCTCAGCGGCTTCTTCCTTCTCTCTCATTTTCTGTCGTTCCTTCTCCTCCTGTGCTCTGGCCATTCTACTGATCTGTCGGCTCAGCTTTCTGGAGGTTTCGCTCCTGGCGTCCATCAGTTTACTGGCGACTCCAGAAAACGATGCTTGACGCTGCAACCGCCTTGTCTTACTCGACACCTGAGTGAAGACTGGGTTTGACTACGGAGGATAATAAAATAATCAATCAGTTCACTTCCAAACAAGTCATGTGACAGACCAGTTTAGTCAGTGACGTCACAGTATCGATATCGGAGAGAAAAGTCAGCAGTATACTCGGTCTTGTATCGATTTTTAAAACCAGTTACCGTATCAGCCCATCCCAGAGACCATACTGCAGAAACCATTTAGATCTCTATCTCCATCTTTAAAAAGGATATGAATTTTCGCTTATACCACGTTTCGAGTTTCCTAAGAGTATCGCAACCGTTCAATAACAGACTTTAATTGAATTAAGAAATCAACCATGGTCGCCGCTGCATTGAAAAATCCTTAGTAACCTAGCCGCAAGCGCGGGATCTGAATGCACGATTTACAAATAGCTGCCGCAGTGACACACGCACGACCCACAATTCCCAATTTTATTCCGGCCGGCGCTCGAAACGTTAGCATTTGACGATTCCCAGTTTACTCAAATACTTTGAGCTAATAACCAGCCAATTCATCCTATTTCCTTTTTCATGCTATTTAAAATCATCTTTATCTCAAGTGTCATACTTCGCACCTAATGTAATGAATAAGGGATTGCTTTCTACGGGTCTTCTCTCTGCGTTTCGCCTTGTTTCCTCGCTCTAGTAACACCAAACTGTTAAATTAATTAAAAGCTAAACGGTATAATAGACCAAACGATTGATGTTGATCATGGCTCATTCCAGAGCGCGAGAAAACGTCTTTTTTTAACAGTACGTGAGAAAATCTCATTTTCACAAAGCTAAAAATTCAATTAGCTCAAAGCCCGAAAAGTGACACCGACCTGACACTTTTCACTGTAAGAGACACAAATGTGAATATTACTGAAACCATGTTTGTTTAACAATCATTTGGGAAAAGGTTTTTATATTAGATTTTAATTGAATTTTCAGTGCGATAAATAGCCTAAGTTCCAATTCGATTGATTTACATTGCGTGGTAATCGTGGAGGTATTCGATGGACAAATTCAATGATAGACATATCACCAACATGGGTCATAGCTACTCAAAGCGTTCCAAATCACCGGAGAGTCGTTGATATACATTTATGGAAACTTGGAAAGTTCTTGATTGTTTTACAAGGCGGTTTTTCTTTGACTGCATGTGACTTGCACAGTCAAGGTCATAATTCAAAATAGAAATTTCATTACTTAATTATACTTGATTAGCTAACACAACCGATCCGAAGGCGTTACGATCAAGAATTTCCACGAAGTAAGCGAGAAGATCTTTTACTTTTCACTCTTGAACTTAAATTATGTTTTCTACAAGATCGATTCACAAAAGTATTGTCTCAAGACGCGATGAGACGGTTTCGTAATAACAACATCACGTTCTTCACATAATGCTTTTCACCGTACCTTACTGATCCTGGAACTGGACAATAAACGCGGCGACAATGTATACCCTCTTTTCCGTGCAACAATCATAGTGATTTTACCAGTAATTAGCACACAGAGACGAAGTGAAAACCAGACGTTCAAATATTTTGCTCTCTTCCGTTTAAGTGCCCAACTGTCGCATTCTCGAAAGCGGCGAGACCGAAAAAGTAAACAAAGGTGCTAATAAACCGGTATTAATCCCTCTCCATTGTATAAGCCAGTGTGCGTGTCGAATTCGATGAATGTTCACAGCATTCGATGTAAAGAGGAAATTTATCAAACCGCTGAACAAATTTAAGAATGAAAGTTGAAGTTCTCTAAGCACAAGCTGCTACTTTTTGGCAAAAGTTTAACCGACTGCAGTTTCAGGGTTAAGGATCAAAACCACTGTTTTGTTACATTTTATTAAAAGTTCCCGGTTTCATTTGTTTATTTAATTACCGGATTATGTCCTCTGAGGCCACTAATTCAAGAGTTTTGTTTAAGAGAACTAATTTTTATTGTACATAATTCCAAATATTTCTCAATAGAAGAGGCAACGCGGGGGACCTTCGGCAAAATAGGTCTCTAGATACAACAAGAGAATACTCATCTCTGTTCAATCAAAAGCTTAGAATAGGAGTTTTTTTTTTTTAATGCAACAAGAGATACCTATCTCTCTTCAATCAAAAGCTTAGAGCAAGAGTTTTAGCAGCCTGAAAAATAGACGTCGTTTTTAGCTTTTACTCAGGCGAGCGCTACAAACCACGCACTTTCGGCAACACTGTTTTGAATTACATGACGACAGGAACCCATAATGGGCTCCTGATAACGATAATACACTTTTCTCTCGAAAAGGATTCTTTGAGTTACCGAATCAAATGGGAAAAAAATGTAATAATAAAGGCCAACGATGAAGATTCCCTAATTTCCTTTCTCGTCCCAAAACTGATTAAACTATCTAAGCATTCATAGTCTCAGTACTTACAAAAAATTTCCCATTTTCCTTTGTTTCTCCGAGTTAGCGTCGAGAATCCGGTTTGCACAACGGATTTACACGATAGTTTTATCTCTCGTTTGCTAAACCGCTGGTCATGAATATTGAAGTTACTGCTTCCTCTTTTTATTTGTTGAATACATTCTGCAGCCGTATCTGCGCATCATATCAATCGCATAAGGAGTACACGAAAGACGAAAACAATTCGAACGAGACCATTAATATGTTTTTCGTAACCGACAAAAAAAGCCCTCCCTCCTAAAGGAGGTTTGTTTCTTTAAAAGTCAAGCCTAATAAACGAAAAAAAAGAAATCAAAGTTTGGATTGTTCAGTGCGACGTTTTGTTGCTCCCTATTTTTGTTCTGTTCTACATTGTAATACTGTGGCATATTTTACGCTTTCTAGTGACATTGTTATGGGATAATATACAGCAACGTGCTTCTCTTAATAAATTTAGTGTCTATATGCTGATATTTAACTTCCACCAGAGTGCACTGGGCGTCACAGACCACGAATCACACATACAAAAAATATATCTCAGAGCCAATGAGAACCCGAGGTGAAAACAGACAAACGGTTTAATTTTGCAGCCGATTGGTTGGAACTGAACCAATCAGAGGGCCTTGTTGACTAAAAACCAAATCTAATCTCGGATTTCCTTCTTAACTCAATCAAAAATTGCCCTAAATAGACAGGTCAAGTGTATTAGTCCCTTAACGACACAGTGCACCTGGTACCTTCCTTTTAAAGAACATATTGGCATCACCTCCACATCGCTGGCCAAAAGTGTCCATCTTGTACTTCGTCTCATCAAAGATATTTTCCGGTTTGGCTCCTTAGAGCCCTGTATATTTGTCATGGTGGCCACGGAGTGATGTCTCTCCCGTTCCTCTGGAACGCTGGGAAGTGGCAAAATTCTCTTTGCCCCTGAAAGGAAGAAATGAAATGCGTTTCTTTCAACCCGTCTTTTACAAGATCATTTTGTGTGATTATTTGTTCATGATATTTTCCTCTAGCGCGAAATAGAGGTTGTTTCAGGTAGTTCCACTACTGCCATGCGCCGCTCATTTCCTGTTTTGCGCTGAGTAAGACAGAACGGAGTCATTGCTCAACAGTAGAAGAGCAAGGTAAAAAACAAGCAGATTTTGGGAAACCTCTACAGCTTTAGAAGGAAGAGAAGACAAACCGAAGTACTGACAAATATCGCTCATAGAACACAAACGGTTTGTAAAAAATTTGAATTAGAGCTTGATGTCTCTTTAAGTAATATTAATTGTATGCTATTCAACTCCAGAAGTGATGAAATGGTTCAAATGCGAAAGATCGAAATTGTGCGACGAAATGCAAGTATTTTATTATTTACGAGACGTTGACTAAATTCAAACTGAAAGCCATTTCCAAGCGAGCATGACCCATATAATCTTTTTCTTTTACCTCTTTAACGACAACCGTGTGTGTGGTTTTGAAAGCGTGTTTCGCTCAAGATTTATCAGGGGAAAAGAAGCTCGAGAGAAAGAGGAAAATACTGCAAACACTTGCTCTGAGAGGTGAAACTTACAGCTATAATAATTCGTTATTAGTTGATTACACTAACACGTTACCTTCCGATTTCCGTCTATTACGAAGTTCAACGGAACGATCTACGTGAAGTAGAGTAGCCATGGTAAGATAAACAGAACTTTACAGAAAGTTAAAATTTCACTGACTGGAGGAAAATGAATGTTTGTGTCTACGTGAGCAGTAGTGAAAATAGACCGCAATATGTTATCGCGAGCTGTGATTCAGCAGTTTATCGCAAATTATCATAAATTAAATTGTTATCGAAAATAGATCGTAGTAAAGGATGGTGAATAAAATATAAAATTGTGTTTTCTAAATACAAAGGCTATTACATTCTTGTAACTCGACGTGCTTCTTGATTGATTTCGACCCAACTGGTCAAAAGATCGAGAAAAAGTATTTGAAATTTACGCGCTGTCAATAAATGTGTCGTGTTATATCTCAGAATTCTATTGAGCGTAAATTGATCAGCAATATTCGTTCATTGATTTCCAATTTGCGATATGTATAGGAATGAATTAAATATGCTAATCCTTGCCTTCAGTAAAATTAAAATTAAAAATGTTATGGTATATTGTTAAGGGTCAGTCGTTCCGGCGATATAAGAACACAGGTACACACTACTTTTCGCCTTCACGAAATGTCGTTAAGAGTCTAGTACAATGAAAAGACTAACACGAATTTTTTTTTATGTAAGAGCTATTGCAAAAATCGTGCGTCGCATTGAAAAGTTTTGTAAGCCCATCTAGGAGTGTCCCTTATGAATAACGGAGATTTCGAAAATGAACCGATGATCAAGTGGAATATTTGTCAAATGCTTGATCAATTAATTTTACCTTTAAGGAGCCTTTGTCTCAGTTATAAACTTAGCAATCTAGAGTTTCTATTTTTACTTCCCGGCCTTAGAGACAAGAAGATTTGACTTGGGTTATAGTAAACTTTAGAGTTGCACAGTCATGTATTTTTAGCGTTGCCAAGGTAATGCACAGATATCCTCGGTCTTCACGTGGGGTTTTAAGACATGTACTGTTCGTGTAAATATCTAGAGCGCGGCTCTAATAAGTTGCGCAGAGGCTGATGTTTGGGAACGCTTTGAATTAGTAGCTACGCGCACAAGCTCGTATCAACTCACTGTACCTTCAACTTCTCGTTTGAAAACATAATTCGTCGCTAAAGTGTGAACTTTATGCATTTTTCCTTCACTTTTCTTGCGTTTCCTTCCTGTCTATCAATAAATTACATGGATTTTGCTGATGTTTTCTTACATCGCGCTAGGATTTTGTGGTTGTGTAGCTCATCTAGTCATCACAGATAGAACGACAATCACAAGGGAATTAGCCTAACAACATGTGTTCTGTTTATGTGCATGTGGGTAATGTCTTTGTAATTTACGTCATAGAACTTTATATTCCTCAGGGAAATAAAGCATGATTTAAAATGCGTTTTAACAAAGTTGACCAGACAGGCGCAGGAAAAGGGAAAAAACACTGTTCGAGAATTCTGCTGGAGCTCATACGAAGAAAAAATTGGTTACCAAGCCAAACAACAAGCTCGAGCCGGAAGTCGTTAAACTACATATCCATTTGACACTCGATTAAGTAAACATAGCTGTAATCCCTTTAAAAGCTTCTCTTTATTATAGTGTACTTTACGTCAAACCATCAGACCAATATCACCCTCGTATACCGCAGTGTTATTTCTTAGAACCTTTTCCCAACAGTGCATGTCAAACAGAACATTTATACGGTTACCGCAGACAGACCAGCCAAGATAGTTTCAGCAGAAATAACTGATAGAGGGAAGAGTAACAGACTTTCATCCATGCTGAATTAAAACTGGTTATCAAATTGGATTATTACTCATTTTCAAACAATGCGTTTGACAAAGCAGAGCAATTAGTTCGCGTCAAGAGCTTATCGCGCTGGAAATTCCCTTTCAGCTTAATTTTTGCCAACAATCTTCTTCGTTATGTTTTGTTCTTTTTTTTTTCTACATCGCCAAACTTTTGTTTCTTAACAGATGCAAGACCTTAAGCTACGTTGTGTGTTATATTAGCCTCTTTCCACTTGTTGTTTTGACTGGCATGGAAGTAAGTGAAAGTATTGCTCCTCCGTCAAGTTTCCCTGACAGTGGGCTGGTACTAAGAGATTGTAAACTTATAGAACTTATCCCCGTGACCTATGATAATATTTATTGAGTACATATTCTCTTTCTGATACCTATTTAGTAGGTAAAATAGTGTCTCGCCTTACTCAAAGAACACACCACGATGACCGGCCAGGTCTCGAACCCAGATTCGTCGAAACAAAGTCTAACGCTTCAACCATCAGACCACCGAGTTTTCCTCGCATACCGTCTCCCATTATAACCAATTTTATACCGATAATTTGTTGTAATTTGCATCGGGGACCAAGAGGGTTCTGCGTCATAAAGGATGACTGTGTTTCACTGCATTTTTATTTCACTAAAAAATATATATAATTTTTAACATTACAAAATACAAATTTTATGTTTTAAGCTTGTGGTTGAATCTTTCACAAAATTTCAGCAAATTTCGCAGTCACAACATTATATCATAAAATGACTCACAGGAAACAAAAGGCGAACAACTCTACTTTTAAACTTTCTAAATGGATTCTAAGCTTTGATTGGCTGGTTCAGACGTCATATTCAGGTGATCGGGGAGCAATTCTTGCGCATGTCACATGTTTAAGTTACTCCAAGACATGTCCCACGGGCTTAAAAAAAAATGAACAAGAGAACAATTATTACTACGACTAGAAACTATGAAAATATAAGGGTAATTTATAAAGTAATCGACATCTTGACAGTACCGTTCAGTCGTGGTTGGTCTTCCTCGGGCTCCTCTGAAGTCGTGAGAGTACTCAGTCTGCCAATGAAGAGCAGGGGTCTGGGCTAAAAATATGAGAGGAAAATTGGTACGAGCATGCTCAACTGTTCCTTTTTCTAGATTTCATATGCAATTTACTTTTAGTTGTCAAGTTTCCTTCAACACCTTCCAGGAAAATAAAGTTTCTCTCAGTGAGAGAAAATCATGCAAAAGAACTAACTTAAAACTTTTGGGGCTTTTAAATCACACTTTTTCCCGGCTTTACCTTTGGAGGTCGGTCTGAAGCGGTCTGATTTCCATGCAGTTCTTGGTTTGTAGTTTGGAAGTTCTGTCAAAAAAAAATACATTTTCCTCAGTCTCGGTTAAAGTGAACGAAGGAAGACATAGCTGAGCCTTTCAGCCACAGATATAAAGGCGCAACGACGCAGATCCAGTCAATTAAAGAACGGTGATGAGCTCCTCGCCAGTCTCGAGTTAGCATGCTATAAGAATGACTCCTTTTTCTGGCCTTTCCCTTCATTTTTTTTAGGATTTGTCTAACTGTTACCTCCTCTTCTTCTCCTAGAGTCAGATATTCAGAAATCTCAGAAAACTCACCGAGCTTGATTTAAAACACACACTGCAAGCAAGCAAAGAATCGCGCGAGAAATAGACAAGTAAATAGCTGCACTCGCGCGAGGAGTCGAGCTTATCGTGCGTGTAGTTTCGACTCGCTTCTATATCATCATAGCGCTTGCTACGAATTCCATTCTCTCTCTTGTTATTACAATGTACGTACCCAGAGGTCTTGCGTTGAAGGTGGTATTGTATGTTGTTGACATCCAACGGCTCTTGTTATGTTGGAGAATGTTCGGTGCCGACTGCGATTCCCGAACAGGCGGGAGATTCAAAGATGGATTGTCCCTCCACACCAAGTAACTCTGTTAAAAACATCAACAAAAAAATGTTTATGTCTCGCAAACCAAGTGGTCCAAACTCTCCCCTAGGCTCTCTCTCTCTCTCCTTGCCACTCCTTCAAGCGAGAAAGTGCGTGAGGAAGAAAGACCCTGGTAACAAGGTTGCCATCCACCCTTCCCCACTCTCCCACAAATGTGAGGAAATGTTACCTTATCCGGGTACTTCCATGGGTCGAGAATTGCTGCATGTGGATTATTTTTCCGATGCACGGAGTAGGGCTGTACATTGTGTCTGCAGTACGCCAGCTGGGGTGTTCTAAATGTGCTGTGATAATGACTTGATTCAAATGGCCAGCCTGATGGTAGATGCTCCGCGGTTCTCATTCTAGAAGGAAAAATTATCTAATTAAAAAAACAAACAGACAAACAAACAAAAAAGAAAAAAAAAAGGGAAACAAAGGAGAAACTTGATTCAAGGACCATAATTTATCGCTGAAGGGGAGGGGAGGGGGTCGGGGGATATTTGGGGGTTCACATGGTTTTCAGGGGGAACGGGAGGGGGTTTAGTCGTCGCCGACAGAGTATAAAGGGGGGATCAGACAATAGATAATGACCGGTCCCCTAAAGGGTTAGGATTGGTCATGCCTTAATGGCTCCCTTCAACTAATGGTATGACATGTTCCTTCATTTAATTATCATTATTACTGTTATTCTTTTTTCAGTCTTCACTCGAAATCCGTGAAAATTCTTGCCATCCTCAGTCACCCCTTTGATTGATTATCGCCTCATGGGTGCGTCTGTGTCCTAGTGAACGATTACATGTATTGCAAGGCTTCCTTATATTTGATGGGATTCATAATTGCCTACGATATTCATTAACATGGCAGAAGTAACTTAAGGAGTTCTAACCACAAACTGTTGGAATTGTGAATTTCATAGGTTAACTTAAGATATTTCATGTTTTTCTTGGTAATAATTACCAAAATCGATAATAGGCTTATTAGCTGTGGGAGCTTCATGGGAGTTTATGCCTATTGTTTAACTACTGTCTCACGTCTGCTCACCCAGAATGTTTTTCTGTCCTAATATCGCTAGATATCTGGAAGCAACTGATCTAAGACTCACAGAGGGAAGAGCACTTAACGTGCTAGGCGCATAATATCGGATTCCTCATGCCTACTCTCGCTATCAAATAATTCCAGCATATTTATGAAATTGCCTCATTGAACTTTTTAAGTTACCTTTGTGGATGTGCAGGTGTTCCGGTCGCTCCTACATAATCTCTCGAGTAAGTTGTCCAAGGGAACTGCTTCTTTCTTACTCCAGACGCTAAAAGTACATAAACAAACAATAAATATAATTGTTGGGATCAATTGACACACAAACGCGACAGCCGAGGAGGTTTAATTATTTGCGTTTGGTGATGAAAAGATTTGGATGTTTATAATCGCAAACCGTTCGCTTACAAACCTGTGTTTGGTGTGTCTGGTTCAGTTCCCCATGGTGGATTTTTGACGTTGCTTGCAACAGGAGAAGTTATAATTCGCTCCTCTTCTGGCATTGTTGATGTCTACTCGAACAAGCGAGTTGATTGTGCAGCTGGATCAGTTCAAAAGCCTTTAACTCAACTTGAAAAGGAAGTACTCTTCATTTATCGAGTCTTTCAAAGATTGAAAGACTTAATCGAACACTTTATGGTTTGTTTATAAACCAAACAGCTGCTGACGTTGATCTTTTCGGCAGTGACTTCGAGCTCGATTTGCCGAATTTTAGGAAGTGGTAATTTATTCCGTCTACTATTCATTAAACATGAGGGTTTCAACTCATTGGATAGTGGTTGCTAGGTGACTTTGTTCATATCCGAGATTGGCGTGACCGCCGCTGAATAGAAAACGTTGTTTTAATGAGTGATTTTTCCAGGTTTCTTGATTATTCCAAGAAAGACGAATTGTTACACTTAAGTGAAGCTAAGTGCTTTTAAGTATAGAAGACCAGCATTGAACTTACCCAAAACCTGTCTTGCCTGTCAAAATATGCTTTGTTTGCATCACGCAATCAACTGTTATTTGAGCCCGAGACATGACGGCGGTCACACTCTAAAAACGTCCGAAGAAGTACAAAAAATTTAACTACTGTTTCACCTGCTACGTTGAAGCAGTAAGTTGGCCGTGAAATTTTTCACGTTTTTGTCTTGCAAAGACTTGCTCGCCTTTGTTGACCTTGCATTTCAAAAGAGACCTTAACTGTGCAAAATAATGGCCTCGCGAGGCTACACTGTTTCAGGATCACCCTCGAGAGCGTCTTCGTCGATCGCTAGCAGCCCTTACCAATCGTATAGGTCGCTGAGTGAAACGGACAGTCCTATTTTTCGTTCTCCAAGATCAAGTCCAGACGCTGAATTAATGAATAATTATGGTACGTTTACCTCTGAGATCGAAGAGAAGCAATTGTTAATACGAGAAAATCACTTTGCCAGAGCTGATAGTACAAACAGTCAGGGTTCTATTTCTATGGAGCTTCCGGCAGCAAAGTCGCGGAGTTCGTCGCACTCTGTATCATTATGGGAACATCTGAGGTGAGCTCAACCCATACTCTTGATGTAAAATTGCACGTAAGATTGAAAATACTGCATCATTAGACGCCGGAAGCTGGCTTACTTGGTCGAGTGAGCTAATTATTTGCTGCTCTATAATTATATAAATTGATAACTCTCATCGAGGTTATTTATTATTTACGGTGTTGTTTTCAGAATTGCCTTCATTTGTCTATCGCTTTATTTGTTTTAGAGGTTTTATATATTTTATTGGTTCAAATGTTCTCCTTTAGTGAATGTGTCTCCATCAAATATATACCATTGACATTGAAATAGACTTCTCATTTTAGTTCACATTATATCATATAGAGTACCACTCTGCATACAGATTTTGAAGATGAAAAATGAGATTTATTCATAAACCATCAGATAGAATCCAAATGAATCTATTTTCCAATCAATCAATCAGACAGTCACTCTGTCATTCAGACAGTCAGAAATTTGTTAGTCACTCATTTAGTCAACCTGAGATCAGTCAGCCAGTCATTCAGACAGTTAGTCAGGTAGGCAGACAGTAAGTCAAACAGTCAATAAATCAGTCAGTCAGTCAGTCAGTCAGTCAGTCCGTCAGCCAGCCAGCCAGCCAGTCAATCAATCAGTCAATCAATTAATCAATCAATCTATCTATCTATCTCTCTCTCTATCTCTCTCTCTATCTCTCTATCTATCTCACCGTCTATCTATCTATCTATCTATCTATCTATCTATCTCTCTCTATCTATTTATCTATCTCTCTATCTATCTACCTATCTATCTATCTTTCTATCAATCAATCCATCAATCAATCAATCAATCAATCAATCCATCAATCAATCAATCAATCCATCAATCAATCAATCCATCAATACATATTCATTGGTCATAGATCAGGGAAAAGACTTAACTTGTTCATATAATTATGACAAATATGTAGTATGCCAAATTGCGTTTTACATTTTTCCTTCACTTACCTTACAGATCTAGTAGCAGGAAAGCCAAACCCTGGGTTTTGTTTTCCATGGCTGTTGCTTTTGCAGTAAGAATATTTTCCATCCTAAACTGTATACATAACTGGTTTAGTTGAATCAATTCTGATAACATTTTTACAGGGATGGCATATAGCACCAGGTAAAAAGTTGACAGGATTTCAAATTCAAGACACAATAATTTACCACTTGACTATGTTTCTTTAGCTTTTTTTTCACATTTTCTTCAATTTCGGTGTATTTTTTGTACTTAAGAACCATTTAAATCCAAGATACTTTTCATATAGTAATGAATATGAATGCATGTGGACATTATCATCAATCTTATACTTAGCTTTCGTGAAGAGAGGCTGTGCTAAGTTCTTAAAAGTTGAAAAGCTGTCTGAAACATTTTCAAGCACACTCATTTCAGATTGACAGCATATACATTCATTGCAAGCTGTAAGAAACCTTGGATTTTATACTTTTGTCTTCTTGTTATTTTCCAGGTGATGCTCTCCATTAAAAATGTGGAGCCTGAGGAAAGAATGCTTCTGTGTGTTTCATATGACAATCCACAATGTATCCTTTTTGTCAAAATGATGCAAAAATGGGAATCATGTCTATTTTTGCAAGTGAAACAATATGATTTTGTTGTTTTATCAAAGGAGATTAAGTTAGTGACTGTAACATTGTATGCAATGAATTACTTCAAAGCTGAATAGTTATCATTTTTTCTGAAGCATCTCAACAGGCCAGAATCTTAAATCCTTAAAGCTGGTATACTGATTGTGCCTTGGTAACAGGTCCAGCTTTTTTCAATATGACTCATATGGTGCAGATTTTTTTTTGCCATGTGTGGAATAATGGAAAAAAGCAGTCCAGAGGAAAAAATAAATAAGTTACTTACCAGTCAAGGTTGGTCTGTATTGGAAAAACTGTGCTCTTGATCTTAAGTATGGCCCTCTGCCTTTGACCTCAGACCTTTAACTCAGGGCCTTGGCAAGTTTTTTCCCATACAGACCTCCAGCTTGGTATATAACATAATTATATTTATTTATTGTCAATATTTGTTACTTTCTTTCAAATAAGACTTAACAAAATAACAGATATTGCACTGAACAGCTCAGAAACTTCTTCTGTTACTGTTGAAGTTTGGGGACCTTTTGCACCTGAAGATGAAGGTAACACTTTCATATTTTAGAGGAATTTCCAGGGCAAAGAGTTTAATGGCTGACATTTTGAGCGTTAGCCCTTTGTCAGAGCGATTGGAGGAGTTGTGGGTTGTGTGTGGGTTTATATGCAGAAAATGAAGCTACACTATTGGTGGGAATATAGTAACAAGAAAACAAGAATAAATTAGTTGAATGAACAGCGCATGTTGATACCGTAGGGATTAAGAGTGCTGATTTGGAAGATAAATATTTGGTCTTGTGTTTTAGAGCTCTCCGAGCTGCCTAGATGAAGGGAAAGGCCACAAACTGCCATATGCTCCTTAGAATGGTTAAGGAGATTTAAGTGTCTAGGGACTGGTTTGGATGTGTCCTTGTCATTTCTTTGTACATCGCAAAGAACTGATGTCAGGACAAATGACAATCATGAAAGAAGTGACAAGGACACATCCAAACTGGTTGCTAGACATTTTAAACTCCTTAATCATTTTAAACAGCATAATTGGCAGTTTGCAGCCTTTTCCTACATCTAGACAGTTTGGAAAGCCGTAAAACACAAGAATAAAAATTTATCTTCCAAATCGGCACTCTTAATCCTCATGGTATCAATGAGTGCTTTTCATTCAACTAATTTAGTCTTGTTTTCTTGTTACCATATTCTCACCAGACTCCCACCAATAGTGTAGCTCCATTTTCTGCATATAAACCCGCATACAACCCACCACTCCTCCAATTGCTCTGACGAAGGGCTAACACTCAAAACATCAGCCTTTAAACTCTCAACATTATAGCCAATTTACGTTTTTAACTCAGTTGATAACACTAAATTGCCTGTTATACTCTCCCACCAACACAGCACCACATTCTCTTCAGAAACTTACACCCTTTATTCAATTTCTAGGGTAGATTATGATACATAATCCATTAACAGGGTAATTTAGTATTATCAACTAAGTTGGTAATGTAAATTGGCCATCATAAAGAGTATCAAAGCTGATGTTTTCAAGCATTAGCTCTTTGTCAGAGTGAATGGAAGAATATTGTGGGTTTTGTGTGTGCGTGTGTGTGTTTATATACAGAAAATGGAGCTACCTACAATTCCTCCATTTGCTCTGATAAAGGGCCAACACTTGAGACACCAGCTTTGAAGCTCTTCACTGAGGCCAATTTATGTTACCAACTAAGTTATACCCTATAATACTCTCCCACCAGCACAGCACCACAGTTTCTTTAATTTTAAACTTAACCCCTTCATTTATAATCAATTAAACTGCATTTATGCTAAAAAATGCAGTTTAATTGAAAGAGTCAAAGTTGTTGTTTTGATGCTTTCCTGTTTTTATCAAGAGAACCATGTGCAGTCAACACAAAATCTCACCATTGGTTTGGTCAGCACACCTACCAACACATCAACAATTTTTGATGAGGTATGAATGAGGTGATCATATTGCTTTCAATTGATGACCCTTTTGACATATATATGTTCTTATAGTAAACAGAAAATTTACTTGCTGTTGACGCGCTGATAAGCCATCTCTCTTTAAGAAGCCACCTCCCCTCAAATCTGAAACTTAAACTACAAGTCCTACCCCCTTTTTGATAACCACTTAACCTTTGACCCCTAAGAATGATCAGCATCTAATTTCTCCTTACACCATCACCCCTGAATCCCACATGAAGGTCATGAGAATAACGGAAATGATCACCAACTTTAGAAGTTCTTGATTGTTAAACAAATTCTCCTTGTCAGCACCATAGTGTCAAAAATGTGAAAAAGCTGTACCACACTTAACTTCCACAATTAAGTCACGGTTTATTCCCTTGATTGAACAATTTTACTGCTGCACTTTGGTGAACTCCCAGTCACAACTCTCGGCTCATTCAAAAGGAACACACTAAACATCCTGTTGTAAGCATGTGAAGCAGTGCCACATGTGGGGCAATAAAACACATGCTGCATACATGTTTGTTTGGTTATGTATAGATAAATGAAATCATTTATAAATGTCAATCAAATTAAAAATAAGTAGCATATCGCACAGTTTCCAACAGTAGGAAATGTAAAGAGAACAGTATGGAGAATATACATACTGATGTTAGAGTGTAAAGGATCAATCAGAAGCTTCGAAAATTTAGCACCATCATATTAACTTCTATCTTGTTATACGCACATTATGTTGAGAAACTGTCAGAACGTTTTTGCTTAATTTGTCAATGATGTAATTAGTGTGGCATTTCCAGCAAATGATTGATTTAAATGATTACTATACCTTGTAGAAAAACATTGGAATTATCTGCAGTTCTACTTTGGATGAGAAACATAGGCCTGTTGTCTTAAGAACAATGACACTTCAGTTTAATGAATCTGTCAAGTAAGGGTAAACACTATCAATTGACACTTTCTCCTTACAATATCAATGCAATATCAACCTGATAAGTGATGAGAATAAAGAAAATATCAACTTGGGGATAATTAGTTGATCTAATACCAAATAATGTGAACAAATATTGTAAGAATTGTTTGGTTGAGTGCAAGGAGAATTACAAATTTGATGTGGGAGTTAAAAGGTTTAATCATTATTGTAACTATTAGCAATTATCAATATATGATGTTAAGGTGTTCGATAGTTGTAATAACTACTAATAACAAACTTGTTGGTAAAATTTTAAGAACGATCTCTGGCTGATATTATAATTTGAAAAAATTACAAGCCTTCGAGTGCCTGAATTGCAGTCTTTGATGAGTGAAATGTGAATGATTACTGTACCTTGCAGCAAACTTGTTGTTGGTATTCTTTTTATGAATATTTTGTAATAATGACTAATTTTTAGTTATAATTGATTAATAATTGCTATTAATTACAACTTCATCAATCAATTTGGAGTTTCGCAATTTGCAAATTTCTTAACCCTTATCTGAATTAAACTTTCTGTACAGCATAACACATGTGGCTGTGACTGCAATCATTCCATACCCAATTGCCATTTCAGTGATGGTTTTTCAAGAAACTGATCTTGAGAAGACAAATGGGGTAAGGCTTTTTTTTTTAGAATAATTTTCACATTAGAAGAGCAATCCATTTGAAAATTCAGGCATTTAAACTGTTGTTGAATGTAGTATCTCTTATCTAACAAAAAAAGTTCATTTGCTTTCTCTTTCAGGTTGTTATTGCATCTGTCATTTTAGTTGGAGTCTATATACTTATCATATTTGAGGTACCAGTTAGCTGAATGTCTGTTTGTCTTCTACTTAATTTAATTTGCTAAGTTGAATTGAGGCAATTTAAGGGAACTCTTAGCTTTCGGGTTTCCTTCCAGTGTGCAATGGGTCATTTGATTACCTTACAAAATCTGATTGCTTGGTTCTCGGCATAAATTGGTTCAATTTCCCCTTTTTTAAATTTTGGTCAGTAAATTGATTTTTTACTAATTAACTTATAACACAAGATGTATCATTCCCTTTCAGTTTGTTCACCGAGCTATAGCAGCAATGTTAGGTGCGTTGGCAAGCTTAGCTTGCTTGTCAATCAGGAATAAGGTATTGATAATAAATAATTAATAATTATCATGGTAATGAACACAGTCACGATCATTACTCAGACCACAGTCATGAACATGATAGCCGATTTTGATAGTGGTCACTATCTCAATCACAAGAATCAATTACTGAACATTTTAACTCTTTAACTCCCAAGCTCTCATTAGTAATTCTCCTTACTGTCTGCTGTATAGTTCTTTTGGTGTTAATTTGGAGAATTTGGTATTGGATCAACTAATAATCCCCTAATTAATATTTTCCTTCATTCTCATTTCATGTCTGCTTGACATTGTATCGATATTGTGAGGAGAAATTCTGTTTTGGTCACTTATGGGAGTTCAAGGGTTAACTGACAGTATTATAAAGAATAGGGTCTCAAGTTATTAAACTTGGGCACAAGATTCTTTATCAGTATAAAATTGTTCAGTTTTTAGCACAAGAAACCCTACAAGCTTTTTAGTTGGTAAATCTCATTGTTTTTAAAATAAAGGCTCTTTATCCATTTATTTATCTATCCATGACAATGTAAACAAAAATGAGGATGATATTGATAAACATAACAACAGCCAGAGCAGTGGCAACAACAATGATATACTGTTTGATAATTTCCTAAATAAAATAGACTGGAGTACTAAGCAGTAATTATTAAACCTTTGGAGAATTTTGGAAATCAGTGCTTCAGTATTTAATCACCTCCTAAGGGGTGATTATGGGAAGATATGAAGTAATCCCCAACTGATGAAAACAGGCACATTTCTACAATTGCAAGTAAACATTTGTACATCTAAAAAAATCATGTAGTCATGAACTTATCTTATTTTCCTTAGAGACCTTCGTTTGAAACCATCATCAGCTGGGTGGAGTGGGAGACACTTTCTCTTCTGTTTGGAATGGTATGCACCTTATTTTGATAACAATTACATTTGTTAACCCTTAAACCCTAAAATCAGTGTGCATATTCTCCATACTGTTCTCTATACATTTCCTGATGCGTTAACCGGGAGAATTTGTTTAACAAACAAGAGCATCTTTAGGTGGTGGTCATTTCTTTTATTCTTGTGACCTCAATGTTTGATTCCGGGGTGACATTGTAAGGAGAAATTAGATGCTAGTCACTCTAAGGGTCAAAATGTTTTAACATTTTCATGAATAAATGCTGAAAATTTGTTTTTTTCAGCTGTTTTTTTATTTTTTATCCTAACAGATGATTTTGGTTGCCATTTTTGCTAAGTCCGGATTCTTTGACTATGTGGCATTGAAGGTTTGTGCAGAATTTATGCTTTGGTAATCATTTCTTGTGTATTTTCAATGCAATTGTAAAACTTGTTACACAATTTGTTCACCAAGACATGCTGCTCTTTATGCCATTCCTGAGCAAAATCAAATGCAATTGCCTGGGGCACGCTGTATGCATTTTTATCTTTAATCTTCATTGCATCATTTAATTTTCGTTTGATTGGCCAGACGCACCAAAACGCATGGTAACCGCTTGATAACTTTGTGGTTACTTAAATATCATTACATGTGGTAACTGTGTGTAATGATTTTAGAGAATGCAGATAAATGACTAAATTTATACCACATCTCTTAATTGTGGATCAATAATCTTGACTTCACGTTTCCTAGAAACTGAGAACGGCTTGAAACAGACACAAAGCCACATCTAATTTTAAAAACTCTCATGTCATTCTTTGTCTATTTACATTTCAAACAGGCTTACAAACTCTCTAGAGGTCATGTGTGGGGCCTAATTACTCTTTTATGTGGCTGTACGGCATTGATCTCTGCTGTTCTGGTAAATAAATTTTATTTAAATTGGAACGTAAAATCTATCTATCCATTCTAATAATGTCCACTTATCTGCTAATCCACAGGTCTTTTGGGCAGTCAGTCCATTAGTAAGTCAGTTAGTTGCTCAGTCAGTCAGTCGGTCAGTACATCATTAAGTCAGACAGTCAGTTGCTCGGTCAGTTAGTCAGTGCATTAGTTAGTCAGTCAGTCTGTCAGTCCATCAGTCATTACATTACTATTAGTCAGTCAGTCAGTTAGCCAGTCAGTCGTTCAGTCAGTCACTCAGTCAGTCAGTCAATCAGTCAGTATATTAGTAAGTTAGTTAGTCAGTAAGTCAGTCGCTTGGTCAGTCAGTCAGTCAGTTGCTCGGTCAGTCCATCAGTTAATACATTACTAAGTCAGTAAGTCAGTCAGTCAGTCAGTTGCTCAGTTAGTCAGTCAGTCACTTGGTCAGTTAGTCAGTCAGTTGCTCGGTTGGTCGGTCAGTCAGTCAGTCACTTGGTCAGTCCGTCAGTCAGTACATTTCTAAGTCAGTAAGTTAGTCAGTTAGTCGCTTGGTCAGTCAGTCAGTCAGTCAGTCGCTCTTTCAGTCAGCCAATCAGTCAATCAGTGGCAGATGCATGCTAAAAAATACATGTGTTTGGGTCTTCAGTACTGCAGGCCATTCCTATGAGGATGGGATATGTTTGCATAAGACTCGAGTATAATTTTCTTGTTAAAGGTTTTGCAATTCCCTTAGTTTTAAAACAGAAGATTCGGGCATATCGTAATGCTTCGTAAACACAGCTGATGTCGTGCAAAAGATGGAACATTACATCAAAAGCAAAATCTCCTTTTCACACGGTTATAGTACGATTTGTAAATTCTTAGACAGGATCAAAAACGATGAGTAAATTTACCTCTGTCTCCACTTTAAAACAGGATAATGTTACGGTCATAATGCTTTTGACGCCAGTCACTGTGACGTAAGTGAAGAGTGTTTTATTTTTTATTGTTGCTGATTATGCATTTTTGTTTCTGGCTTTGGGCCCTTAAACAATGATTCTTAAACGGGTTCTTTCCATTGATGAAACTAAATTACCTTTCAGGTTGAGTCAAGTCCTCAATCTTAATCCTACATATATCTTGATAGCTGAAGTAATATTCTCCAACATTGGGGGAACGGCAACAGGTAAATATACTACTGCTGTGTTTTAATTAATAATTAATTCAAATATATTCAATAAAAGAGTCCAGCTTGACCTCACATGTGACAATCACAGGTAAGGTGTATTTCAAGCCAATCATATCACTAGATGAAATCTGCTTTTGTTACCAGAGCCTTTCTCCAGTTACATGCTCTCGCCACGCGTGTCAGTGGTTTCCCATTTTTCCGCGCTTGGCACTGGTTTCTCATTGCCAGCGCTTGGCACGCTTGGCACGCTTAGCACGCTTGGCACGCTTGGCACGCTTGGCGCGCTTTCTCAATTTTTCACCCTTTGCTGAAGTTACCCATTTTTTCGCGTCTCGCACTGAGTACACACTTACCCGTGCATGGAATCAGTTAATCGTTTTCCTTTTCCGCAGTTTTCCCGTGATATTCGTGATTTTTCGTGATTTTGATGTCGATCCCTTTTTGTCTCAAGCAGATCAGCATAGCTGGTTACCTGAAAATTGTAACTGACTCGCAGTAAATGTCCAAAACTTGCACCCTCGTATACGTTCCATGAATATTTGTCCCTTTGTTTCTTTCCTTGTAGCAATCGGTGACCCACCAAATGTAATTTTAGCTACCAACCCGGACCTTTGTAAAGTAAGTTACAACTCAACTGAAATGTTTGGTTTTTTTAATCCTGGTT